CTGTTCAGAATTGCCGTAAAAATCAGTGAGTGTGTAAGACTGGGCCAGCATGTGGAATTCCAGAGATGGCACAGTTTGATGTGGCTATAAAACCCATGCCTTGCTGGTATGGAGCTTTAGTTAAAAAAACCAACGTATTTTTCCTTAGTTGCCCGTATATTGTATGTTATATTAACATAATGTTAAACTGGTATCTACGATGGTTGTGAAATTCTGTGTGTTAAACGTATCGTGCAGGGAAACTTGTTGGCAATCCTTGTTGAAATGTGTAGAAAATCAGGTTCTAGGTGTGTGTTGAAGCACTAGAGGTGTTGGCTCAAACCAGCTGTCGAATCCCAGCTGGTAAAGCTGCTCAATGTGCTGCGTGCCCCGCTTTGCACTTAACCGGCAGCTTTCACTGGTGTCCTCTGCGCTGTCGGAACGTGGTCGCTGCAACCCTTGAAGAGCATCAAACCCTTTTATTGCAATATTCCGCTCTGCGGCTGTTAACCCGGTCGTGTCGCGTGTCAGCTACGCCGCCCTTTCCCCTCCCCTTGCTGCCTTTGCTGTACAGGGAGGTGGTTGGGATGGGGAGGCACGAGCTACGCGAGTCTGAGACTGCTGGGGAGGGACCGCACTCTGGGAGTGCAGCAGGAAACAAGCGTGTCCCAGTAGGGCTTTTACTGGTGTCTGTCTGCGTGTGATCTGCTGGCGCCGTGGAGGAGGCAGCCTTTGCAAAGGCAAAAGAGTTTTTGCTTGTTTGTTTTTTGTTTTTTCCCCTCTTTTTAAGGCAGTGTTGCAGCATTGCTTTGGCTGCTTTTTATGCTTCTGAGCTGGAATTTTTTTTAATGTATGTGAACTGCTTTGTAATCTGAACAGCAGAGACTTATTGGAGGGGAATGGTGTAACAGCAGGACTTGGCTCCAGCCTGGGGACTGTGAGCTTTATGGCTCCACTTTCGCATCCCTGGCTACAAGGGACATGGACCAGTGCTCCAAACAGAGGAGGAATTTGACTCTCCTGTATCAAAACAGGCAGGAATTGCCCAGTTTTCCCAGGACAGTCACATCCCCTGAAGTAACTGATGCTGTTTGTTCCTGTGTGGACTGTATCATCTCGGGAGTCTGGCTATGCGTGGAGAGGAGAAATTCTGGTCTCTGAGAATAACCATTTATTTGTGGTGGCTGCTCTTTTTCTTTGATGTTTATGCTGCTAATGTACACACATCACTTTAATGCGTTGCTTTTGTGTCACAGAGAAAAGGCATCGTCTCCTTGGGGTTGGGGGTGCTCTGTAACCCCTGCTGGAGTGCGGCAGCTGCGGGCATCCCAGCGCCTCCCGTGCTGGGGCAGTGGCAGGGAGCTGGCTGCGGCTCCCCTCTGGTCTTGGCGCTGCCTAGAGCTTTCAAAAGTCGGGGTTGATGGGAGAAATGGAGTCCTTAAGTGTGACCAAAAGAACAAGACAGCTCCTTCGGTGTCCCTGGTGGCTGGTAGCCACGTTTGCAGTTGCCAGGAGGTTCTTGTGCAGTACTGGGAGCAGGTAGAAGTCGACAGCCCTTTCTTACCGCCACGATGCACCTTGTGGCTTGGGAGCAGATCTGTAACAGGAGCTGTAATGGCTACAACTGCCCTTGTAAGGGTGTGATTTGCTCTGGAGAGGTGTTCAGTACTGTGCTGAATGACTTGTAAGTTTTTCCCTGTGGTTTTTTAAAGTTTTTTTGGGATCATGGCCTAGAAGAACATACTGCCCTCTGTTTTGGGCGGGGGGGGGTGGTGGTGGTGTCACCTCCATTCATACCAGGTCTGGCTTTGTCACCAAAGTTCATCCAAAATACAAAAACTGACATTTGTTTTCTCTAGCCTAGCACTTTGAGGTAGATACTCCAAATTTTTGTCCCTCCAAGCTGTGGTCGGTTTTGCTCTTGAAGAGCTAACCTTGCTTTGAATGTGCTTGGACAGAGTTGGGTTATCTTGTGTCACACACTCCTCCTCAAACGAGGGAGACCGAAAATGGCTTAAATGCCATTTTGTCTCAGGCCTTGGGTCAGTTCTGAGCCCGTGGATAGGTGCATGGTTTTGGCCTGTACTAGCTGTCAGAACCAGGGATAACTGTTGTATTTCCCTCTGTCTTACGTTGTGTTGTGCTAAGACTTGCTGAATGATCTGCTTTTAAGGGAGCTCCTGAACTGTGCTGTCAACAAGACGATTGAAAAGGCTTTTACTGGACAAACTTCAGTGGCTCAAAGGCACCACTGTGGACCACAAAGCTACATTAAAGTATTCAAATTTTAACTCTAAAGGCATATGCTTAACAACTGAATTAACGTTACAGCCCTGCTGCTGAAAACAGTGTTACTTGACATATTTAAGTGACCCTTGGGGCAGGGAAAACCCCAGCTAACGGCTTGCACGGCCTTGGCAGGTTGGAGGAGCCGGTTGTAACCTCCTGTTACGGGCCTTGGGGAACAAATTGTCTGCTCTTACACGAGGACTTTAAATGAAGCGCAGCCCTGTCGTGGCCATGACGATCTGTCAGCTTGGCTCACCTTTAACTGGCGTGTTTTGTTGGGGTTCTGGCAACTGCCTTTTAAAACCAGGGGGTCTGGCTTGTTGCTGTACTGTAGGGGCCCTCACTGTAGCCCTGGACAGTCTGTGAATGTCTAATGGGTCCATGAAGCGTTTTATTGAGGAGGAGGTTTGGTTTGTGGGGGTGGTTTTTGCAGAGCTTAATGCAGCCGTTTAATACAGCCGTGCTCAGCCCAGGTCAGTCTGTGCTCTGTAGTATTTACCAAAAGTCACGTTACCATAACGTGTGTGCTCGTTTCTGCGTCTGCTACCACAAGATCCCCCTCATTCCAGAACATCGACCTTATTTTTGGTGCTTTCTGTTGTTTAATGTTGTGTAAACAAATTCTTTCATATTTAACTTGTTCCTGATCCTTTCTTGAAGAGGAAGGGAAAATGGTCCTTAGTGCCTTTCACTGACTACACCATCTGCACCTGCCCAGCGTTCACCTTTCTCAGCAGTCCTGCTTAGCCAGCCCTTTGCAGTGGGGAGACTGCTGCTGTTTGGAGAATCTGTCTTCCTATTTATTGATTCTCTACCTTTGTTTATTTCTGATCATTCTTCGGTTTATGATTAAACTTTATCTCTTCCACTGTATATACCAGTACTGTGTCCCTGGAGCATGTTCATACCATGAAATAAAAATCCTTGATTCCTAGTTCCACCTCTGTGCATGTTTTTCAAATAACTTCAGACACAACAACCTCTCTCCTGGGTCAGAAGGTGTCAGGGTGGTGGTTAGAATAGCCTGCAGAGCGCTGCGATGGGCAGCACTTACCCACTGGTGGAAAAGGGAGCTTGGGATGTGTGGGGATTCCCACGGGGCACCAAGAGGTGGACAGGGCAGAACAAGAGGAGGCTTTGCCGAGACTCCTGGGGGAGGTCAGTGGGCCGGGGCTGGGGTGCAGCTCACAAGCTGCGCCCCAGGGAGCTGCTGTGAAGCCCCTCGTTGGAGCCTGTTCTCTGCTGGGGCCAAGGAGAGCCCGGCTGAGCCCTGCCCAGACCCTCAGCGCTGCCGGGTTTTGCCTCTCCTCGCCTGCCTGTGCTGCCCCAGTGGTGCAGCTGAGGGGGAGAAGCTTTTCGTGCTCCTCTGGCTTTAGTGCTGCAGGGCAAGCTTGTGCAGACGGGGGCGGGGGGGGGAGTTTGCCTGCAGTGATTGGGACCGTTCATCTGTTGTTTCCTTTGCTGAAGGCCTGCCGTGTGTTTCTTCCTCTGGAAGGCGTCTCAGCCTGCTCGTGCAGCAGGGAACAGGGTGTTTGTTTTTTTTTTGTGGTCTGTGAACTTTGCAGCTCCCCTGAGTGCTGTGACTCAGTTGAGGCACGAACCAAACCTTGCACGGTCCTGGGACTTTCCAAAGCGCTCTCCCACGCTGTGCCAAAGTAAGTTGCAAAACGGTAGACACCCTAAATACCTGCAAGGCTCCTGTCCCCTGCTGCGAGAGAGCCTTTAGCCACCCCCTGGGTCTGCTGCAGGCTGGAGCCATCCCTTCAGCCATGCGGTTTTGCTCCCTGTTGCTATTTCTTTCACTGCTGTTGCTGCTGGAGCCTCTCTCCTGTGTCACAAAGGGCTGTGCCACATGTAAATGGCATATATAGAAATATAGGGTTATAATATAAATAGAGGCTGTGAGTAGACTATAAACTGAGGGGACAACTGAGGATGTGGCATCTCCCTCCAGCTCTAGCACACACTCTGAGCTCACAGCTTCCAGAAGCAGGCACTCTTTGTGTCCTGTCTTCTCCAATCTGCCTTCTCTTGGGCTTTTTCCCCGAGCTTAGGCTTGCTTCCCTCGTGTTGGTACGAGCCTTAACCCCACAGCAGGGCAAATTCTTTGTTTTGGCAACTCTTGCCAGCGCCACCCTTGTGCCAGTGGCCTCTGGCCTCTGTTCACTGCAGCCCCGTGAATTTCTAGTGACTTAGATGGCAAAGGAACAAAAATTACTCCTGACTGTAGTTTTAAAGCCCTGGTTTCATCTAGGAACGTGTCCCAGCTCAGCTCTGGAGTCAGCACTGCCCCTCTGTGCCCTGGTTTCCAACCCAGTCACCAACCTGCCCCTCTTCCAGCAACGCAGACAGAAAATACCTGTGTCTCCCTCCCTGCTCTGCCATTTCCCTCTCTCGCCAGCAGCCTAGGCGGTCCCTGTTGATCTGGCCTGGCCTTGGTGCTCTGGCCTGCGCCTGCTGGGGGCGGGGGGACAGGGCTGGGCAGGGCTCTCCAGGAGCTGGGGGCCCCTTGGTGCTGCCAGTCTGGTCCTGCAGCCCCGCGCTCCAGCTGCTGCCTTCGAGCTCTCCAACGCGCTCCTGTGCTCTCCAGTTTCTGGCTGAGGAACATCTTATGCCATGCCAGCAAGTTTAGTCCAAAAATACATTTATTTAAAGAGTTATTATAAATAATATTTGAAAAATACAGTGTCATTATAGTTTAAAAACAAAACAAAAAAGCAAACTGTCTTCTTTCACTTCAGATTCCAGTCTTTTACTAATCGCTGGAGGACTCTGCGTAAGTCCTCGAGGAATTCGCTCAGGGAGGTAGTGTTGCCCGCTGCCAGGGCACAGGGCGGCTGTTGTAGGGACAAAACAG